GAATCCGAATCCGAATCCGAATCCGATTCTTTAAAAATTGTAAATCCGATCCGAATCCGAATCCGATCGGATTCGGATCGGATCGGATTCGGATTATCGGATCCGACGCACAGCACTACCTCGTACTAGTGGATTGTGGTGTTAGTATGCTTTCCCAAAATGGCACAGTCTGACAGTGTGGTCATAGTAACACAGAGCAGGTCACCTCTACGCGACTCGAGTGTAATGAGTTGTCTCGTCGACCAGGTTCATCCGTCGGAGAAATCATGGGCCACGCGAAGTTGATCAATTCCGTCGACTACCGGTCTGTGCGCCCGTTCCGCATCGCCACCGCGAGCGAGGATAACGAGGTCAACCTGTACGAGGGGCCGCCCTTCAAGTTCCTCCTCAGCAAGAAGGAGCACACCAGGTTCGCGAACGCCGTTCGCTTCTCGCCCGACGGCTTGCACTTCGCAACGGCCAGCGCCGACGGCAAGTGCTTCGTCTACGACGGCAAGACGGGCGACCTGCGCGCGCAGATGGGCGAGCCGGCGCACTCTGGCGGCATCTACGCGCTCGCCTGGAGTCCCGACAACAGCGAGATCATGACGGTGTCCGGCGACAGGTCGGCGCGCGTGTGGGCGGTGGCGACGGGCGCGATGGTTGGCGAGTGCGTGTTCGGCAGCACCGTCGACGACATGCAGGTCGGCTGCCTCTGGCAGGGCGCCCACCTGCTGTCCGTCTCGCTCTCCGGCGTCATCAACTACCTCGAGCGCGGCAACCTGTCGACGCCGAGCCGCGTCGTCAAGGGCCACAACAAGCCGATCTCGTGCGTGACGGCGAGCGACGACCGCCGCACGATCGTCACGGGCAGCCAGACGGGGGCGCTGGTGTGCTGGGACGCGGCGAGCGGGCGCGCGCAGCCGCTCATCGGGCGTTCGCACGCGAACCAGGTGCTCGCGGTCGTCGTCGACGGCGACGACATCGTCTCGTGCTCGATGGACGACTGCGTGCGCGTGTCGTACCTCGCCAGCGGCGAGTGGGGCACGCACGACGTGCGCATGGAGTCGATGCCGCGCGACATCGCCGTCCATCATGGCCTGCTCGCCGTCGCCTGCATGAACGAGGTGACGCTGCTCCGCGGCGACCGCATCTCCTCGCTGCTCAAGGTCGACTACGAGCCGTCGTCGGTGACGTACAACGACGCCGAGAGCCACCTGGCGGTCGGCGGCGGCCTCGACCACCGCGTGCACGTCTACCGGCTGCAGGCGGGCGACCAGCTGGCGCCGATGGAGGAGCTCCAGCACGCGGGTGGGATCACCGCCGTCGCCTACTCGCCCGGCAACGCGTGCCTGGGCGCGGCGGACGCGAACCGCCGCGTGATCGTGTACAGCGTGCCGGGCTACCAGCGCCTGCACAACGTCGACTGGTCGACGCACTCGGCGCGCGTCACCTGCATCGCGTGGAGCCCCAACTCGCTGTTCCTCGCGAGCGGCGGCGTCGACACGAACGTGATCGTCTGGAGCGTGCGCGAGCCGAACAAGTGGGTCGAGATCCGCAGCGCGCACCCGATGAGCCCCATCACGGGCCTCGCGTGGCTCAGCGACGCAGAGCTGGTCAGCGTCGGCAGCGACTCCAACGTGCACACGTGGCAGCTGAGCCAGTAGAGAGGCAGCTGCGCTCCCCCCCCCCCCCGGCTAGCCGAGCGCATGAACCGTTAGCTTGCTAGGCGTGCGACCTCTTGGCTGGTTGGGTGCATGATGACGCCTTAGCTAGCTCGGTGCATGATGGACGAGTGTGCATGTCCCCGAGCTTGCTAGGTACGTGACCCTGGGGAGCTGAATGTAGGTGACCCTTAGCTAACTAGATGCATAAGCCACGGGTAGATGAGTGTGCAGGATTCCTAGCTAGCCAGGGCCAAAACAAAATATAGGTGTGGTTACGGTTTCCTGACCGACCCTATTTATTCCCAGCGACCCTAAACATTTTATTCAGTTAAAAAAATTTTAAATTTAAAAATAAAAAATGAAAATTTTATTTAAAATTTTTTCAGTTCCTGCTTCAAAAGGCACAACGCACATCTTTCGGACATGGTTCGTAAATAAAATATTTCAAGACAATAGAATGTTTTCCCTACCTACCTACCCTATTTTTTTTCGGCATGTAACGGTAACCACACATATATTTTGTTTTGGCCTAGGTGCATGAGCCACGGGTAGATGAGTGTACATGATTCCTAGCTAGCTAGGTGCATGAGCCACGGGTAGATAAGTGTACATGATTCCTAGCTAGCTAGGTGCATGAGCCACAGGTAGATGAGTGCGCA